TATGTTCGAATTAGAAATTATGTATCTACTACTGACCGAATTTACTCCGGGCTTCCTCAGGGTAGTATTCTAGGGCCTCTATTGTTTCTCGTATACGTGAATGATATAGTAAGCATCGAAAACACCGCTAAATTTATAATGTACGCCGACGATACTAGCATATTTTTTTCTAGTTTCAAAGAAGACCTACTTACCTCCATTGCAAACGTTTTTCTAGGTAAATTAAAAAATTGGATAAATATTAACTCTCTTATTCTTAATACCACTAAAACTAAGGTTGTCCTATTTCAATGCCCGGGATCGTATGTTCAAATATCACGTGATTTGTACTTTGGGTCATGCACAATAGAATGTGTTGATACCGTTAAAACTCTCGGTGTTATATTTTCTAGTCATATGTCATGGAATAATCACGTAACATACATTCATAAAAAACTTTCTAAAGTTGTTGGAATTATGAATAAATACAGGCATATACTTCCCGTAAACATCAAAAGGTTAATTTACAATTCCCTTTTTCATTCTATAATCTGCTATTCCCATTTAGTGTGAGGAACAACTACTAAGAGTAATTTAGACAAATTGCGTCTTTTACAGAAAAAGGCTGTCAGAATAATTGAAAATTTACCTCGTGATTATCACTCTCTTCCTCTTTTTGAAAAGCAAAAAATCATTGATATATATAATATGTATTCTTCCAGATTGATTTTAAAACCAACAATGTGTAAGAAAAAATATTAACATAATCTTAGACCTTGCTAAACTAGAAAAAAACGAGTCCATTTACGCATCGCGTCATAGGCCCCCCTGGCGTCTTCCTGTATCTAGAACAAATTTCGGCACCCAGAGATACCGCTACCAATTACCGCTATTGTTAAACCTTCTTTTTTCTCATGGAATTGATATATACTCTGTAAACAGTCGTACAATACAAGACATTTTGTAACATAAAATCACTATTTACGTTTCAGATAGCTCTAAATATGTGTACTTAGGTAGATGGTTTTTTTTTTTTTTGCTGTTTTTGTGATTGTTATATACTGTGTTCTTTTTTTTTTTTGTATTGATGTCAGTCCCGCTGCTGCTTTGTATTGGGGCGCTGGGACTCGTCAAGCTGCTAACATGCAGCTTTTTTTCCAGCGCCCTTGTCACGAATGTATTTTTGTGGCAGAAAATAAACTGATTTGATTTGATTTGATCAAAGGGCCATTTCTCGGGGAAGCTGGACGTCAGTGTACAGCTTTTGCAGCGGCGAGGAGTCGAAACACACTTGTTCGCTCGGGAAAAATGTGTTTCGGCGTCTCGCCGCAGAGGGGCGCCAGTCACGTGGCTCTTCTTTCATCCGTTGTCTGCCGCTCCTCCTTTTTCATTTCGGCGGCCGCTTCTCGTGGCGATCGGCCAGGCTTTGTCAGTATATAGGAGGCTATGCTTGGGCTTTTGTATCCGATGTTCACTGCACGCGTTCTTTGAAAACAAAAATAGCCGATAACAAAATGCCGTTGTAGCAGTGTCAGTGTCAAGTGCTTGTGCAGGGAGACGCGCTTTTACGCGCTCAGGAATAGAAAAGAAACAAAAACGTTCAGAATTTGTAGTTCCTTCTGTGCACTGCACACGCTCCCTGGAAAAAAAATCCAGAAAAATAGCCGATAACGAAATGCCGTTGCAGCACTATTATGCCAAGAGCTAGTGCCGGGCAACGCGCGTTCACGCGCTCCGGAACAAACAAAAACAAGCGTCTGGAACAAAAGGGTCGGGAATCTATTTTACTCCTTCTGTTCACGCTCCCCACGGCGCGGTGAACGCTACGCCGATGCATGACGACTTCGCCGTGACGTGGCACAGCTATCTCTGTGACTGTACTGTGGGTGAACAGAAGACTGCTTTCTTTCTTTCTTTCTTCCTTTCTTTCTTTCTTTCTTTCTTTCTTTCTTTCTTTCTTTTCTTTTCTCTCCGATTTTCCGTCGCTCTCTACTGCGCTCTCTCTTTGAGCAGGCCCGGAGCGCGCTCGTTTCACGGAACAGAGCGCCGCTGTATGTCTGAACACATTACGTTTTACCCCTTTCGGGAATAACACGGAGGCACCCGACGAAGGGGCTCGTCTGGCACTGGTGTCACATCGGTGACGAGACGAGCGCTGCATCGGCGGTCGTCTGGCAGTCGGCTCGTCGACTTCCGTTAATGCCACATAACCGGATATGGTTAGGTGCCCTTGCAACACTGATGTAGCAGATCCTACACACAAACGCACGGGAGGGACGTCATTCAACACCTTCCAATAAGGAGGCCATAAAACTGGAGCTTCTACGTCGCACACCGGAGGCCAGCGCCGGCACGGACGCGAATACGGCGTCGGCGATCGACAGGAAGTTGAGTTCAGACGGTGCGAAGACGAATTCTGCCCAACTGTAACTTAAGTGACTTCAAATGTCATCTAAAAAAAGTTTTAATTTAATCTTGGATGACTAATTTTAGGACAGTCATAGAACAGGTGAATGAAAAGTTCAAAAGTCGATATGTTTGCCCTCTTGTACTGTGATTTGAGACCAATTTCTCGTGTTCACACTTGGTGCACGATATGTTTATGACTGAAGCTACAATCGTACCTCGGTTAACTCATCGTGTGCTGTAATGAATCCCTAGATTCGTATAGTGCCTCCGAAAATATTGTTACCTAAGGCCTGAGCTACTCTTGGTGTAAACTATCCTCCCACTCACCCTTTTTTCTGAATGGTACGGGACACATACATTTCATGAATAGACAATGAGCTCCTAAACAACTTGTCCGCGTGAATGGATAGAGTGGGGTTATGTACGAAATTAGCTTTTTTTGGATACGCATTTTTAGCGCTGTGTTGGCGTCGCGAGACACATTTCGGGTTGTGAGCGAACAAGAAACGTGTTTCTATTTGAGGAAGTCGACCCCGAAATGCTGTGAGGTTTTGAAGATGGGTGAAACATCTATAGTGACCGCATAAATCGGCACGGTGAAGTACCGCGCTGCAATTTTGCAGTGCACGAAGGTGGCGGAAACATTGCATGAAAACTTCAAAAGCAAACTTACCCCAGTAAAAACTAAAAAAAAAAACGATGATTTTTTTATTTTATTTAAGGCGTTCGTCTGCTATCTCAACTGAACACCCTAATGCGCAAACTCAGAGGGTGTGCAACCAGGAAATAAACGACATTAAAAAAAAAAAAAAATATATATATATATATATATATATATATATATATACAAGTTCCGCTTTTTCTTACTTTTTATTTAGGTAAGTTTTATTTTTTTTTTTATTTTGATGCGATGCTTTCACCACCTTCAGGCTCCTCTGCGGTAAACACTATACTCCGCGACAACTTTTCTTGGCAATGCAGTAGAAGGTAGAGGCCCGCGTCCCCTCTCCCATTTTGAGTGTACGCGGGCTCTCCTGCGTACACTCAAAATGGGAGAGGGGACGCGGGCCTCTACCTTCCACTACACTGCCAAGAAAAGTTGTCGCGGAGTATAGTGGGAAACATTTTTACGACGATTTCTGCGGTAACTTTAAAGGCCTCACCCGGCTTCGGGACCTCGCTGTAGAAGTATGCTTCGGGATGGCTCCTAACTCAAAATATGTCTGCGCGAGGTTAATATTCCGCCTTTTGTTCTCTTTTTGAGACGAGAGGGTGAAGGCTTGTTCTGTGACGCACGCGTCTAATCCGGGCACTTAAAAAAAGGATTTCGGGGGTTCAGTGTTTCTTTTAGTAACCACTTTTTCTCGAAACAAGACACTTCCTTGTTCTGCTCTCCTCTTTCCTTTTTTTTTTTTAGAGCGCAGCTCTTAGGGGCCCGTTTCCATCCTGAGCGGCGTCGGCGTCGGCGTCGGTGTAACCGGGGGGGGGGGGGGGGGGTCACGTGACCCTCGAGGTCAAGTCACCCCCTCCCCCCCCCCCCGAGGTCACGTGACCCCCCGAAATCACGTGGCCCCCCCCCCCTCCCCCGAGGTCACGTGACTACCCGCAGGTGATGTGACCCCCCTCAGTGCCCTTCCCTACTCCTCCTCAAGAGCTGCGCTCCAATTCGGCGTTACAGGGATTTGTAAACGGCTTTCATTTTTTTTTTTGCTTTTTTTAGTCCTGTGATTTCTCCATAACCTATTCTATCTTGTTTTTGTTTTTTTGTTATTTTTTCCTCTCCCTTCTCTGGCACAAAACAAATTCACAGGGTATCTTATGTTATCCCTAAGACGACTTGGAAGCGAAAGCTCACGCGCCGATGAGTTAAAGACATGATTTCCGGATGCCGGCGGTACCCCTCCGCCACGGATCATTACGTACTACGTGAAAGCATTTATACGTGATATATGTTTATATATTTTACGTGCATATCACGACTGAAAGAGCTCGAATCTACATAATTACAACATATAAAAGTCGACGCAAAAACGTAAAGTTGTCTTTCTTGCAGTATTACTAAGGTTGTTGGGAAGATACATTTGCAGGGCGAGAGCGCAGAAAATAATTTTCCCCGGAGAACATGGGCTAATTAAGTCATTAATTATCTTTTTCACTAATTTTTATAACGCCAAACCTCTTCCATATATATCTAGGGAAAATCAAAATTCCACAATGTTGTTGTCTAAAATCCCGAAAATAAAAATAGGAGCGCTTTCATTCACGTTGTTTTTGGCCATGAGTTCCCGTGCTCGTGTCTGGGTTTCGGTTTCGAGCAATTGAGTTTTTGGCTTTATTAAAAATATACGTGGCTCTGTAGCAAAATATTGATTGAGTAGTCTCCTGACGCCATATTAGATTGCTCTTAAAATAAAATTTAAATTTTGGGGTTCAAGCCTGGTTCAGACATTGGTCACCGTCTGTTTTACGATTCCCGACTTTCCATTACGGCTGGTCACGTGGACTTTAGTTGCCATAGCAACCGCTTCGTTGCAAGCAGTCATAAGCGGTCGTTGCGTGGTCAATCAAGGCGTTTCCCCACACTTGCGAGTTTTTAGGACCCAGTGTCTTAAATGGGGTCTAAAGTGCGTTCTGAGATCCTCGCTTTTGGTCATAATTTAATCTACGAGTTCTAAACATCCAAAAAAAAAAACACTAAATTACATTGATGCGCAACCATTTTGGATATTAAAAAAAGATAAGATTTCCCGACACCTATCGTTGGCGCAGAATGACAGAGGGCGCTACTGCACCTTGCTCAATATGGTCGAACGAGGGGCGGCACTTGTCAGCCACACTCGCGGGTGATGAGTTTCCTCTTGGACGAGCGGCCGACCATTCCCGCTCGTCCACACGAGAACCCATTGCTAAAATCCACCGAGGTGCTTGGGAAACAAAATATAGTCGAACCATTGCGGCAAGCCATAGTTTGTTCGCGAAAATGATTTTTGCAATGAATAAAATACGTGGCGTATTTTATTCATTGCAAAAATGAATAAAATTGGCGTATTTTATTCATTGCATTGTATACGTGGCGGAATCGCAACTGACAGAATCTCGGTCATGGCGCCCATTTCATTTTGATCGCGCTTGGCATGTACGACCCTTTTGTTGTTTACATACAGGAACTGCCACTTCCGTCCCAAGCGACTTCTGGTCGCTCTCTCTTTGCCAGCCTGTCGAGGTTGCTTATGTCACCAGTGCTAGAAAGCATAAATGCCACACGAACAAAAACGTTGGAGATTTAACGAGGGCCTTCGGTTGTACAATTTAACATCTGCCAGGAGCCAAGTTCGTTTGCTGGAATATTCGGAAAGATTTAACAAATCTCGCGCTTTTTCGTTTTTTTTTTTTTTTTTTTGGTGAGGGAGGGGGGGCGGCGTTCACATGGAGAATTGGTGGTTAAACGTTTCACTGACATTTCAAGCAGCGGTGGTAAGTTGAGCTTCGTTATTTTCGTTATTTATTTTTATCAACCGGAAGTTCTCCGTGACGTCAAAGACTGGAGCACCGCCTGGTGGCCTTTGCCATGAAAAGGGTCTACAGTGGATCGCGCGCAACAGCAGCTGTGGTGCACCCGCAGCCTCGCGCTTGTTGCTCTAATGTATTTGGCTGGCTCAGTACCGGCATCCAGGCATTTGACACCCTGACATCTGACCCTACTTCTGTCTTTTCGTGTGGAGTTCCAAGCGGCACACGACTTGTGCCAAGCGGCACGAGACATTCTTGGACACGTGTCGCCATCTCTATTTGATAGGAAACTGCAACTTGCCATAACTGAATGGGAAAAAGTTTTAGATCTAATACTAAACTTCACATGTAATATATCGATTTTGGAATTCTAGAAAATGTAATATCGAACGATGCTGCGAAATTTAATGTCTCGTAATTTTCATTAGTTGACGGGATTTCGCTTTTATAACACAATAAAATAATACAAATCTAAATTTTATTATTTTTATTTTAAAATGTGCATTCTCTGAATAATTCGTTGCTAACTTTTTTAATTCGTCATACCCAACTGTCGGTTCATGTAAATCATCATGGGCGTTTGGACATTACAACTCGAGAAAAGAAGTTCTATATTAAAGAGTGTGGTAAATTAAAAGTTGAATAATAAACTAAAACTAAAAATAATTGCAATAATAAGACATTAAACTATATGTGAAAAATAGTTCTTTAATTTGACCTTAACTTTATGACTGTAAATTACATAAAAAAGAAAGTTATTATAAACTGTAAAAAGAAACACCATTCACGATGGGATTGCACCCTAAGGCGTGTCCACACACTGTTGACTGTTTACGACCGGAGGAGCTAAAAGCTTGTTTTTAATCCTTTTGTGATGGCCTACGAGATGTCGTAAGCCGTCACAAGATGCTTGAAAACCGGTTGTCTCGAAGTCGGTCGTAGTCAAACCCCAGTTTGTGAGCGGGCCTTCAAAACCGCTTGTGATCTCTTACGACGGGAGAACACAATGGCACGCTGGCGCCATCTATGCAGTGAACCTGAAACTGCATTTCACTACTCCGAAGTTTTTCCGGTATTTTCAAGGTCAAATTTATGAGAAATGGTAGTTTATAACATTGACAGAAGTTTTTTTCAAACCAAAAATAAATAAACCGCGAAAAAAAAAAGGAAATATACGCGACCACCAAGTGCCCCACGGCTACCGGATAGGTAGCGCCGGTGTGCTCTCCTGTTGCAAGAGATCTTGAGAGGTTTCGAGGCACACGGTCCTGAGAAGTCGCAAGCGCGTCAACGGGACACTGAAATGCGAATGTGAGATTTTACTGTTTGAATGGTGGTTCGCCGAGCGACGGACCTGGAGATGACGTCCCGCGCTCTGTCCGGTGCAGACGGAGCAAGAGGCGTGCAGCGCGTGTGGCGAGCTCATCGCCGACCGGTTCCTGCTGAAGGTGAGCGACACGTCGTGGCACGCCCGCTGCCTCCGCTGCTGCGTGTGCCAGACGCCACTGGACCACCAGCCGTCCTGCTTCGTGCGCCACGGGAGCGTCTACTGCAGGCCAGACTACGTCCGGTAAGCGTCACCACGCACACCACACCACATGTCAGGTACCGCCTAGAGGACATGGCCTGTTCATTACGTCATCCTTTGTAGATCCTCGACCCGCCCCAAGCGGCGAACCCGCTAAACTCAACCAAGTACACCTTGGCGTCGGCCTCTGCTCGTATCGCGCGTGTTGTTGGACGCTGCAAGGCGCGCTGGTGCTGCGTGCATTTACTAGTGATGACGCTAGTGATTTACTAGTGATGACAGGCCGCGATCCTGCCGGTGGCACGGCAGCATGGCTGGATGCGGCAGAGGCCCGTTCTGCTTCAGGTCTCTCTGCAGCCCGACAGTCTACGCAAACCGAAACAAACACGAGGTGGGACGCCGCGACGACAGCGACCCTTGCGTCCGCGCTCACCCTTGTCTCGAGCATTTCTACAACAAACCGGAAGGATCGCAAAATACGAGAACACGACACACCGTCTCTTGTGACGCTATTACTTGTTGCCACTTCAGGGCCGATTTCGATGCACGGGCGGGACGGTGAACCACCAGTTCAAGATGCGTTCCAGGCACCCGCAGAGACTATGATGACGAGGCTAGCGAACGCCCCTAAGTCGTTTATACTCGAAGGATTTGGCAGAATTTGGTAGATTTCGACGGTTTCGAAAAACACGGCGGGGAGTCCGGCCAAAGAAAAATGGTACGTTCCCTCCGCCATCTTGCGTTGCTCACGCATAATAGACCGTGACCGAGATCTCCCAATAAGATAATACAACATTTTGTCTTATCGAAAAGTTGGTTTCTTCTACAGTCACTGGAAAGGTGAAAACGGCGAGGAAGGGCTTCAGGGTGTCCCGACTGCAGGGCGAGCCTTCTACATTTTTCAACCATGGCCTCCTCTATACTGACAAAGACTGGCACATCGCCACAAGAAGCGGCTGCCAAAATGTAAATGGTGGAGACAACAGATGAGAGGAGAGCCATGGGACTTGCGCTTCGCTGCGGCGAGACGCCGAAACACCCTTCTGCCGAGCGAACAAGTGCGTTTCGGGTCCTCGCCGCTGCAAAAGATGTGCGCTGACGTCCAGGTTCCTTGAGAAATGGCTCTATGATGCTTTGTGCCACTAGATCCTTGCGCTCCAAATCTGCGACCGGGCACTCTGTGGCTCCGCTGTCAAACTGCCAGGCTTTGTGAGTATAAAGGAAGCTATGGTACTGGAGGCCGGGCGTTTGAAAGACGCACCCTGCCGTTCTAGCTCTGTCATTGAATATAGCGGGTTCACAAGCTCCACCCGCTGACCAAATCCTCCCAGTATAAACGGCTGCGAAATGCCACTAAAAATGCGCCAGATGCGGTCGACGTTTTATGCACCCCCTTCGAGACACGACAAAAAATGGCACTAATATATATTAAAACAGACATTACAGACCCAACAGGAAACATATGTTATTTTAGGGGATAAAAAGACAACACTCGTTTGAATGTTTTGTTAGTTGAACACCTTGATTGGCAGCTTAATCCGCCTAAAGTAAAGAGATATATTTCTTAAATATTGTAAGTGTTTTTTTTTAATATAAAATTTATAACCGAAGCTATTCTTCAAGCGCCAAGTTTGAAACTTGATTTTCGGACTTTGCTTGGTTAAGCTAAAGAAACAATGCGGAAACTTACCCTACTTTTACTGAATACATAAGTTTTCTCATATACGTATATATACATATATTATAGAGTTAACAAACCGCTAAACAACTCAATTTTAGCTTCCGTGTCACATAATTTAATCCCTACATATATTTACAGAGTAGGACCGAAAAGCCTTCTCTCCTTCGATATCCACGATCGGGGGAATTGTCGTGCTGGTCGCAACTCCTCGGCGTCAGCAACATGGGCGACAAGAAAACCGGCAATGCCAAGATGTCAGCTGGGAGCTCCTAAGAAACTAGAAGGCTGAGCTAGAACAGACTTGTACGCAAAGCGCCAAACACACGAGCGACGATTCTCTGTAACCGCCTTAGAGATCTAGCGTATCATACTTAGGCTGGATCAAAAATCCAGCCTAAGTATGAGTACGTACGGTGAGTCACAGCTAAGAATACCTTCTTTTGGAATGCTTACACATTGTTTACTTTGAACTTAGTATGTTTTATGTTGGCTTGGCCTGTGTGTAACGCTTTTTCGTCACATTCAAGCGTGACGCTTTTCGCGCGAAAGCCAGCCCGTGAACACATTCCGTGTTGATAATCTATGGCCTCCATGGGTTGGTGAGCCTTTTGTAGACAAGTACAGGAAATGTTAATGCACAAACACCGTGCGACAGCCTTCAGAGGCCCAAAAAAGAAGTGAAGCAGCTCCATCTCAAACTCTCCTTCTGAGATAGAGGATTGAGACGTTGTGACCGGTTGCGATCAGGTCTCCGTGCACCGGGTGTGCCGGATCCGCTAAAGTACAAGTCTGCAAATTACCTTTCTTTTTTTTTTCGTCAGCAAGTGAAAGCGTGATTGTATCAGTGATGTGGAGACACATCAGGAGCGTGAAGGCAAGATACTACCCGGCTGTGCTTTGTCAGCAAATGTCGGCGAAGGTGTTGAATAGAATTGTTCAGGTAGGCGTGCGTTTCGACTGATATAGCTTATTACAATTCTAAACTGCTATTGATAGGAAACAGCCAGAATTACGTGTGATCCCATAAAGAAGGGTTTGATTAAATTTAAAAGATGCTGAATGAAGCGGAGAGTCTGAATATTGTTTAGAGTGGTATTGTTTTGCCTTGTTTAGAGTGGTATTTGATTTAAAAAAAATGATCTTCGCTTATACTAGTTTTTGGTTGACTTGAAAATTGTCTTTCACGCGTATTAACGCTTGGCTGTAATCATATTTTATAACATATGTGATAACGTTCGAATTGTATGTTTAAAACGCGTAGAAATTTACTATTATCTCTTATATGAAAATACAGTATTATCGTTCATTTCATTATTGTTTATTTTTAGCTGAGGCGACTTTTGTTGCGATCTTTATTTAACATACTCTACTAGCCGGCGGGCCTCACTTCACGTTTTGCGCAGGAACACGCTTTGCGTGGCGGCATCGTCACGCAGACGACACTGGCGAAAGGACCTCCTTTCGCAACCACTCAGCGTCGCCGCTACGCGGTGTCGATTTCGCTGGAGCCGCGTTTTGCACGCCTCTATGTCGAGCTCCATCCGGTCGAACCGATTTATTACTGCAGATAATTTCTGTCACGTGACATCCCTTCAAGCATTGGGGGGGAGGGGGGGGGGGGGGGCGTAGGAGCAGAGAGCAAAAGGATTGAAGTATTTTTTTGTTTTGTTTTTTGTTTTGTCTTACGAGCGGCCTCATGCGGCAACTCGGCCGGAGACTCCGCGTCGGCCTGTGGGCCCTTCAGCGTTCCTCGACGAAGCGCGGAGAATATCCTCGCTGGAGTGTCGCAATTCGATAACGGCGGGGGTAACCGAATCTGCGGGCTCCCTCGCTTCGTCCTCAATTAGCCCGGGGGATTTCCTGGCAGCAGCGATTGTGCCCAATTAAGCGCCAAAGCGGGAACGTCCCGACAAATCCAATCGAGTCCCCGTTCCGCCGCGGGGAGCCGTCCCCCGGGGGACACACGTGGCCCGGAGGGGCGCGGTGTCCCCCAGGGCGAGTTGAAGGCGCACGCGCCCCGCTTTTTTTAAATGCCGGCGGACTTCTGTATGGCGAGGGACAAGCATATTACTACGAGTATCGGTGCAGCAGTTTCGCGTAGCACGACTGGCTCCAAAGGGCGTTTTCACGCGACGTACTTCCGGTTAGAAATCGTGCCGGACGCGATATTGTTTAATATTATCCCTAACCCTTTCTTTGCGCCGAAGGCACTGTTTTCCAGATCACTCGAGTTATTTCCTTGTAGTGATTGAGTGCCCCGGTAAGAGTAGGTGAGAACACGAAAAAAAAAAGGATCGCGTGGTACGTATACATTCCAGTTTTTAATCGGTCTTATGATGTGCCGCCGACCAAAAAGTCAACTCGTCGGCGGCCAAAATGGCTCCGGTAGGCAACTCCGCCAGCAATAAAAGCGCAGTGTTATAATGGCGCGTTTACACTTGCGGATTCACGGGCGAATGCGCGCAGGCGGAAAGTGGGTTTTGGACGCATGGTGGCGTAAAAGACTCGTCGCTGGCGGAACTTCTGGATCAGTCCGGGACCGACATCCAGAGTTTCCGCCAGCGACGAGTAGATTTCGCCACCCGGCTCCAAAATCGCCTTCCCGCCTATGCGGGTCCGCCCGCGAACCCTCAAGTATAAACGCGCCATAAGTGTGGGTTTCTGCGGCTCAAATACCTCCCCGGTCGCACTTAACCGAGTTCTGTGGTCGGCGGAAACACTCGCCGTTCTAGCGCGTTTCACATACATCAAAAAACGACCGCATTCACTAATCGTCCGCATGCAAACTAATGGGAAAAGGGGGGCGAACGCCGTTCACCAAAAAGGCAGAACGCGGCTTACTGGAAGTGAAAAAGGCGTCTCGTGAAATCGCCCTCGGGTTATTGAAAGCTTTATACGAGGGCAGAAAGTGAGGAAGAGGAGGAGGCGAGAGGGACGTCAGAAGGCCGAGCTTGGGTTGGAATGAGTAGAGGGTAGACGCAAAGCTGGCTGCCTTTGTATCCACTGCCGTAGCCTCCTCTATATTCTCACAGCCTGGCAGTTCGACGACGGAGCCATAGCGTGCCCGGTCGCAGATTTGGAGCGCTAGGATCTGGTAGCGCAGAGCGTCAAAGAGCCATTTCTCGGGGAACCTGGACGTCAGCGTGCAGCTTTTGCAGCGACGAGGACCCGAAACACACTTGTTCGCTCGGGATAAGTGTTTCGGCGTCTTGCCGCAGAGAATCGCGCCAGTCACGTGGCTCCGCTCTCACCCGTTGTCTGCCGCTCCACCTTTTTCATTTCGTCGGCCGCTTCTCGTGGCCATCTGCCAGGCTTTCTCAGTATTTAGGAGGCTATGGTCCAGCATAAAGATCTCGATTGG